CCCCGACTCCTCTCCACATTCAACAAAAGGCGTGCCCGCAGGCAAGCGCATGGGCGTACCAACGCGCATCAAAAAGGCAACCCAGCTCAGCGCTTTGCGCGCGAGCGGGCGCCGCGGGCTCCGCCCCGTCCGCCTTGCGGAGGGGCGGGAGAGGAACGCGGACGAGGTGGAGCTGCAAGGGCAGCTGGCGCAGCCGCAGGCGCCCGTGCGCCGGCGGCGCCGCTGAGCGGCGGAGCCTCCTCTCGCCATATGTTACCTCTCCTCCTCCTCCTCCTTTAAGGGAAAAGCGCCGAGGGCGCGGGCGCCGCGGGCGGGCGCCGCGGGCGCCGCGGGCGCCAGGCCTCGGGCACCAGGTCTGCCTGGCGGCCCTCCTCCGCGGCCGCCGCAGCGCGTGGCCGCCGCAGCGCGACCAACGCGCATCAAAAAGGCAACCGAGCTGAGCGCTTTGCACGTCCTCCTCCTCCGCCTCCTAGTCCTCCTCCCCCTCCTCCGCCTCCTCATCCTCCTCCACCTCCTCCCCCTCCTCCCCCTCCTCCCCCTCCTCATCCTCATCATCCTCCTCCTCCTCTTACATGACTGGCAAACAAAGCGCCACCGACGCGCATGCCAGCGCCTCCTCCGCGGCGGAGCCAGCTCCTGCCGCACCACCAGCGCACTGGTACCACGCTGGGTCCTCCTCGTCCTCCTCATCTTCCTCATCTTCCTTATCTTCCCCAGCCTCCTTCCTCGTCTTCCTCATCTTACACCCTCCTCATATTCCTCGTCATCCGTCCTCCTCCACCTCCTCTTCCTCCTCCTTCTCCCCCGTTGAGGCTCGAAGCCGGCCTGGGCGAACCCGCGCCCTCAGGGGCCGCGCCCTCGGCGGCGCCACCGCGGCGCCGCTGCGGCAGCTGCGCCGCGCGCAAAAAAAGGGGGGCCCCATGCCTCGAACGCTCCCCCCCCCGTCAAGCAAGGAAAAAAAGAACGCAGCATGGGGCCCTCTGCGTTGCAGCTGCTGGAAAACGTGGTTGCGCCCACGAGCGTTTCTCTGAACATGATCGTATATGATGAATGGTGGTGACGAATGAATGGCGATGGATATTTGTTCTGAATGGGGGTTTGAGGTTAGTGAATGATGGCACTGCGGTGTCTTAGTGGTGGTATGATTGCATGGTGGCACATGAATGATGCTACTATGAAAAATTAACAATTCTCGGGGAGAACCTTCTGCAAGAACGTGCTATAAAAGGTTCCACCTGCATGTAAAGATTTGGCGACAGTGCCCATCAACCTGTTCTCGTTCTCATCAGCATATGTCCAATAATACTTTGGATTGCCATGAACGGACACGTATTCAGCAACGTGAAACAGCATATGATGCTTAAAAACTTGATGTCCGCCAGATGCCTTCCAGAAGTGCAAGAATCGGACCAGCGATCTTTGCAGCCTGTCGGTGGACGCAGCGTCCATCCTCCTAGGCTGCGTCTGCATGATCTTTTGGGCTTCATGGAGAGCCTCGGTGCACATGACCAGACTGGTTTTCTTAGGGCCCAAAAAACCATAACACTCCTTGCACAGTTGTGAGGCGAGGGGGATGAGATGGCGAGTCTCTGCTGCCTTGGCCCTGAGGCGAGGGTGCTTAGCCTTTTTTGATGGCCAGAACATCTTGTACGTGATCCTGTGGATTCTGGTACGCTTGCCTCTCGCGAGGGGCGATGCAATATAGAAAGCACGAAGACGCCTTCGTAAATGAAGAAGGTTGTCGTGTGACCTCAGTGCTTGGGTCCTCTTCGTTGACCGAGCAAAGTTGTTTCTGCAGAGCTGATAAAAAATCATCCCCAGCACAAACTGCGATACCCCCAAATCCAATATATGCATTATGTCTAAATGCAGGTAATCAACAGAAAAACCTTTCACCTGAAAAAGTGGACACATAAGCGTCAAGCCAACACCGTTTGAGGTATCAAAAAAAGTCAACTCCAAGCCACCAGGTGGAACAGTAATGTCTTTCATAGCGTGGATGTCGGTCACAGGCCCCGACTCTACAAGGCGGAACCCCGTGCCCAGACCCAGGGCTGGTACACCCTTCCAAGTGGAAAAACCACCGTTCGAGTCGTCAAAGCGCATTGCCTTCAACAACTCTTTAAGCTGCGGCGTGTTCGCGATCGTCACTTTCTTGAGCGACCGATCAATCATAATCTGATACGCATCCTTATCACGTGCAACCCACGTGGAATCTGAAACGGTGGCAGGATAATCAAAAAGATGCTGTCTACGGCACGAACACTTGAAGCAAGGATTTGCGATGTTGTCCCACCGCGTGAACCCCAAAGCCGTCACAACTTCTAACAGATCAGCTCGAAATTCCAGGAGGGCCCCCGCCCACCCGCCCGCAAGATCTTTCCCCCGCAACCCCAGGCGACGAGCGTCTCTGAACTCGTTCCCAAGATGATCCACGGACGGGTGTCTGCCTTCAGCAATCACGTTATAGGACCAAGTAATAACGCGCAGCAGCTGGCCAAACGTGCAGAAGCAACGGCACCCGCAACGACAGACGTCGCTTTTGCGGAGGGCCACGATGAGCCACCTCCGCGAGCACAGGAGAGGGAAACCCAAAAAACAGCGCGAGCTGCGGGCCCAGGACCTGGAACTCAGCGGGGAATGACATGCATTCCCTCGTCCCCCTCCTCATCACCATTCCCCGTTTCGTCCTCATCTCCCTCCATTCCCTCCCGTGCCCCCCCCTCCCCCCAGGTGATTTCAAGCACATGTTTTTGTTGGCTGCCTTCCCCTGTGCCTCTTCCCCGTGAGAGTGTTCGACAGATAATGGGCGAAGAACGCATCCTTGCGCGTGTGGGGCACGGCGTCCGAGAAGTATCCCAGGGGAACGCACCTGCCTGGGTGCTCCAGCACAACTGCATTCTCAGAAAATGTCGGGGGCAGCATCTCCGAATCGAAATTGATGTGAGGGGGGTATGCACGCGCGCCTCTCCTGCCCCACCCCCGCCCCCCAGCCCCCGCCTCCCCCAAACCGGCACTCCCCCCGCCTGGCGCCCGAAAGGCGCCCGCCTATCGGTGGCAATGGGGGGGTGGGGATTGGGGCAATAGGGGCGCGTGTGCACACCCCCCGAGAGGATCGAAAGATGCTGGGTCCTCGTCGTAAGATCTTGAGAACTGCTCATGAGGAAGGTTGAGCGGGAATCTTACAATCTCTCTGGATTCAGTGGTGTCGTTCCACATTGACATATCCATCCAATAGAAACTGTCAAGCGAACGGGCAGAAATCGCTGTTCGAACATGCTCGGCGTGATGTGTTGAATTCGGGTCTAAAGAGAGATCCCCGACTCCCTTGGCACCAGCGTTGGACGCATGAAAACATAAAGAACAGACAGCGGTCGCGCTCATCTCGCCGCGCTTGTAAGCCGACAAGATGTACTGCCGCAGTCCAATACCATCATCGAAGCTTTGGGCCTCCTCCTCGCGAACGCGGGCTCTCGCCGCCTCCTGAATCAACCTCTCTCCAGCGGCCCTGAAGGCCATGGCCAAGAAGGATCCTTATATTCGGCGATCACACCACAAACGCGACAAAAGCTGGCTTGACGCAAAACCGCTACGGATCTCTGGGGGGGGGATCTTCTGGTGGGGGTTATCTTCTGGGGGGGGTGGGGCCTTCCGAGGTGGATAGGACGCAGCCCGGAGGGCTGACGTCCCCCACCAAGGGAGGCCCCCGCTCTCGGCGAGGCACAGCTAGGAGGAGGAGGAGGAGGAGGAGGAGGAGGAGGAGGAGGAGGAGGAGGAGGGCCACCCCGCCGAGAGCCGAAGCCAACGACGACACAGCCTGCCCCTCGCCGCAGGGCACGCTCCGCCTCGAGGCACCACCACGGCGAGGGGCCGCGGCGCTCCCTCGCGGGGTACGCCCCCCACGTAGGCGCGCCGTAAGGATGCATTCCCCTAGGAAAAGTGGGGGGGAGGGCCGAGCGCTGCACAGGGGCCACTAATCTTTGCGCTCCTTACGGCCCTCCCCCCAGGTGCGTCCAGTCAGGAGGGTGAGGATCAAGGGGAAGAGGATCTATGCGGCTCCCCCTGATCACCCCCCGTGGCGGTAGGGAAAATACCTCCTGGCCACTCATCCTCAAACTCATACTCATCCTCGAACTCCTCCGCATTACCCAACTCCTAATCAAGATCCATCGCGCACTGTCAAGCCTGTATCATGAAAGAGCCTGCTGGTCTGTCAAGCCTCGCGCACTCCAACATCAACTCGCGAGATCGCCGTATTCCCCCCTCTTCGAGGGGACCCCCAAGAGGCAGTATCTTGAAAGGGAGGACGGGGGGGCTGGGTACTCCTCGCACTCCTCACCATCCTCATCCTCGTAGAGAGTGCCCCTCGTATCCTCATCCTCGTCCTCATCCTCATCATCCTCATCCTCGCACTCCTCATGATCCTCATCATGGGTCTGAGCCGCGCCCCCCACGAGAGAGAAAATCTATAGAGTGCAAGCACGACGCATGGTGAGTGGAGGCATCGGCGGCGAAACGCGCCATCATTTCACCGAGCACGTCGTGACACGGCCCGTTTCAAAGTGTTCAGCAGAGCATGCGCTACCCACAGCGCACATACCCACACATGTGCGCCTAGAAACCAGCGCTCAGCTTTTCCGCCGCCCTCCAGTGGCCGTCGCCTCCGCCCCCTGACCTCCTCTTCCTCCGCCTCCTAACGCCCATCATATTCCTCCTATACGCACCCTCCTCTTCCTCTACCTCCCAACGCCTCTCATCCCACTCCTCATCCTCCCTATCCTGCTGATCCTCGATCTTCCTCCGCCTCGGCCTCGGCCTCGGCGCAGCGCGCCCATTCAACGGTTCTTGTTCATGGCGGCGGCTGCCTTCTGGTATGTCTCGGCCAGCGGGGCGATCACCTCCCACAGCTTCTGCGCCTCGCCACACATGAGATACGCATAATCTTCATCGTCATCCTCACCCTCATCCTCATCCCTCCGCTCTTGAGCTAACCACTGAGCCCCGCCCATGAAAGCAAAGGACTCGGTGGCCTCCTGGATGTCGGACTTCGCGTCCTGGATGTCGTCAGACCTCCCGGGGCGACGGCGCGGGCGGGGAGGGTGAGGAAGAGTGCCAGAGAGACGCCAGGCGGTGCCAGGATTGGGAGGGATGGGTAAAAGGGGTGAGTAAGAGCGTTGACTAAGAGCTATGAGTAAGAGGGGTGATTGCGAGGGGTGGGCAAGAGGGGCGAGGACGGGGAGGGATACCTAAGGGGAGTGAGGGGTTAGGAGGGGGGGGGATGAGGAGAGATAAGGGGGGGAGGTATGTGCACAACCTTTACACATCTCGGCACATCAAACACACACTGAGCGTGTTACGCCAGGGGTGCGCACAACCTTTACGCATCAAGGCACAGCAAACACATATGTGCACAGGCGTTACACATCAAGACGATTCGAGGGATGTGCACCACCTTTCCCCCCGCCATTGAGCTAACTGCGGAGCCCTTCATGATACCCATCATTGTTGGAGTGCTCCTCCTCCTCATCCTCCTCCTCCTCCTCCTCCTCGCCGTCCTCCCTCATCCTCACCGCCACCCCATCATTTTCCTCATCTTCCTACTTCTCCTCATCCTCCCCCTCCTCATCCATCCTCCTAGGACTTCCCCTGGATGTGCTTCGTCAGCTCCGAAGTCGCCTCGTCGAGCACCCCGAGCGTCTCCTTGATCTGCTTCTCGAAGGGTTTCGCCCACGGGCTCGACGCCACCGAAATCCCCGAGAAATGCGCCCTCAGCGCGGATGCCTCGCCCAAGAGCTTGGCCACTTCCGCAGTCACGGCGCTCACCGCCGAGCTCGCCGCGCCAGGGGTATCCTCCTTCTGCCGGAGGAGGAGAGAGAAGGAGGGAATGAGGAGCAGGAGGGGGGACGGTACACCAGACGAATCCCTCGGCACGAGGATCCCCTCGCAGAGCAAAGAGGAGGATAGGCAGGATGAGGGGATAAGGATCCCCGAGGTGGAGGAGGGTCACGAGGCTGAATGAGAGCGCAAGCTGTCCTCGGAGTCACTGTACGAGTAGCTGCTCGAGCCGTCGCTGTCCTCGTCCTGGCCCCCATATTTGGCGCATCGCTGCTGCTCTCTCCAACTCCTCGTACTTCTCCGTATCCTCCCACCCCTCGTGCTCCCCTTACTCCTCGTCCTACCCCCTGACCCCTCCTACTACAACTTGCCTGATACATCCTCCAACTTCCCCCACCCTCTATCATCCCTGCCCTGTGTATCCTTGACGTTCTTCTTCGGGGTCTCCTGCTCCTTGGACGCGAGCGTGCTCTCCCTCTTCTGCGAGTGCTCCTCGCACGGGCAACGCCAAATAAGGAGCTAGAGCGCTGTGTTGGGCATGACAAAGAGGAGGAAGGATCATCACCAAGGGGGGCCACAGTGAGCACACTGGACGATCACAAGGGTAACGGAGCGCAGGAAGGATCAGCATCAAAATGAGGATGAGGAGACCAATCGAGGCGCGCTCCTCGCGCTCGAGATCCGACAGCTCGATCTTCTTGTAGAGCATCTCCTTGTGCTGGGGGTGCACCTACCCTGCCCCCGTTCGCGAGGATTGGGGGAGGAGGTGGATCATATAATTGATGCCCTGAATCATTTATCGATCCGAGTTCGTAAACGTGCTAATCCTTGAACCGATGCACCCCCCTCCTCATCATGCCCCTCTCCTGGCCTCCGACTCCCGCCCCACCTTCGTAAAGCCCCGCACCTTCTCGCAATAGTGCTTGATCGCGTCGGCGCGTGCTTTGGCCCTGTGCAAGCCGCGGGGAGGTGCCTACCCCTCCCGCCACGGGCTGACCCCAGTCCTGAATCCCCATTCCTCCTCCTCCTCCCCCTCCTCCTCCTCTTCCTCCTCCTCTTCCTCCTCCTCCTCCTCCTCCTCCTCCTCCTCCTCTTCATCCGCCTAACATATATAAATAAATGTATGTGTTTCGATCGGCGCCTCTGGCCGAACGCAGACGACGCATTCTCGACCGTCCACTTGCACTCCGACAAGAGCTCGTCGTGAGTAAACCTGGGCGAGAAACGCGTTCAATGCATGTATGTATACACGCCCATATCAAGAAAGCCGGGCGTCCGAGCGGAGGCGGGGGGGGCCATGCTGAAACCATAGTTCGGGAGCCCCAAGAACCACAGGCCTTTCGTGTCCTCCTGAGTGAGGTTCTCTTTTTTTTCCGATTTCGTCGACTGGATGGTGTCGAACGACCCAGTATCCTTCCAAATCTTCTGCCACTTGCGCTTCTTCTCGCCGCGCAAGTGTTTGTACTCGGCCCAGAGCTCGGGGCGGTCCTTCTTCATCTGGTCCCTCCCCTGCCCACAATTATATATGGATGTGATTTTGAGGAGTTCCCCAATACAGTGCTTGCTATGTCGCTTCGTGTACAGTGACATTGCATGCCACAAGCCCCGCCCGGACATGGCCTCAAGCGGGCCAACTCGTTCTCGTGCTCAGCGTTCTCTTTGCGTGTGTCCTGGGCGACCTTGTCGCGCTTCCTCTTTTCCTCGGCCTTGTCCTCGCCCCCCCTGCCGCGGCGGTGGGACTGCTTGTTGCTGGAGCCCTTCGGCGGCATTGCCTCCACTCCCCATGGCTTCCTGGTCCCGGAGTGGGGGCCCCCAAAATATGATGATGCTTGCGCCGAATCGTATATATATATATACATATGTGCCAGCACTGTGTATTCTCGTGGCCCAGTGCGCACCTCGCTTTCCCTCCCCCCCTTGCGTTTTCTCCCGATATTGTTTCCTCCACCTACATGGAGGAGTGGAGGCGCGGGCGTCGTGCGTTTAAGATAGTAGAATATCTATGTGGCTGGGGGAGGGGAAGGGGCCCGCGTGTGATTTCATCAAGCGTTCAGGTATGTATATATATATATATATATATATATATATATGCGTACATGTGTGTATGGGCATGCACGTGGAAGAGTCGCCACGGCGTCAACGACGGCCATCGCCGCCTCCCTTCCCTCCTTCCCGTTTCCTCTCTCTCTCTCTCTCTCCCTCTCTCCCTCTTTCCCTCCCCGCCACCTCCTTCGTTCCTTTTTTTTTTGTTGCGCGCCGTGCGTATATTATATATATAAATGCACACCGATTCGCCTGGTGCAAACCACTCCGTGAAGGCTAGCTGCCTTAAGCACCGCGCAGGCGCCGAGGTGGCGCGGACCCCCCCCCCCCCCCCGTGCACGCCCCCCCCCCCCCAAAAAAAAAAAAACACTATGGTACCATGACGGACCATAAGCAAAACCACGATGGAACCACGATGGAACCATGATGGAACCATGACGGAACCATGATGGAACCATGACGGAACCATGATGGAACCATGACGGAACCATGAAACCATGACGGAACCACGAAACCACGAAACCAGGAAACCATGACGGAACCATGAAACCATGACGGAACCATGAAACCATGAAACCACGAAACCAGGAAACCATGACGGAACCATAATGGAACCATGATGGAACCATGACGGAACCATGATGGAACCATGACGGAACCATGATGGAACCATGACGGAACCATGAAACCACGAAACCAGGAAACCATGACGGAACCATGAAACCATGACGGAACCATGAAACCATGAAACCACGAAACCATGAAACCATGACGGAACCATGAAACCACGATGGAACCATGATGGAACCATGATGAAACCATGACGGAACCACGATTGAACCATGACGGAACCATGAAACCATGAAACCATGACGGAACCATGAAACCATGACGGAACCATGAAACCATGACGGAACCATGATTGAACCATGATGGAACCACGAAACCATGAAACCATGACGGAACCATGAAACCATGACGGAACCATGACGGAACCATGAAACCATGATTGAACCATGATTGAACCATGATGGAATGGAACCATGACGGAACCATGATGGAACCATGATGGAACCATATGATGGAACCATCACGGAACCATCACGGAACCATGATGGAACCATGATTGCATGACGGGAACCATGGCGAAAACCATGCTGGGTTGCAACCAACACCACCCGAGCCCGTAAACCCCAACTTGAAATTCAAGTTTGGGCTTAAGGGCTCGGGCGGGACTGGGTGCAACCCTGCTTCGCCAAGTGCTTGCTTGCGTGTCGTGCACCTGTAAAAAAACTACCACGCTTCGCTTGTATTCAGGCGCCATGTCGGAGTAGCCCAGTATACCTGGGCGGGCATGGGGGGGGGGGCGTGCCCGTCTCGTCGACGTCGTCGCCGCCGCCGTCGTCGCCGTCGCCGCTGCCTGAGTCGCTCGGTCCCCTTCCCCTTTTCGGTCCAAGGATCGTTCGTCGTCGTCGTCGCCGTCGCCACTGCCCATCCTGATGTCGTTTTCGGCCCCCCCGCGATGGGTCCAGGGTTCGGTCGCCGTGGGCGTCGTCGTGTAGTCGCCGTCGTCGTCGCCATGGACGTCGTCGTCGTCCTCGCCGTCGGGTCGACGTCTCCGTCGTCGTCCTCGTCGTCGTCGTCGTCGCCGTTGGATCGATCGTCGCCGTCGGTTCGATCGACGTCGCCGTCGTTTCGTCGTCGTCGTCGTCGTCGTCGTCGTCGTCGCCGTCGGGTTGACGTCGTCGTCGTCGTGCCCGGAGCCGTCGTCGCCGTCGGTTCGATCGACGTCGCCGTCGTTTTGTCGTCGTCGTCGTCGTCGCCGTCGGGTTGACGTCGTCGTCGTCGTGCTCGGAGCCGTCGTCGCCGTCGGGTCCACGTCGCCGTCGCCGTCGTCGTCGTCGTCGTCGCCGTCGCGGGCCTCTGGCGATTTCGTACGATCGTGCCCGTTCCCGCCTACCCACTTCGTGCTCCTCCGCCTCCTCCTCCTCCTCCTCCTCCTCCTCCTCCTCCTCCTCCTCCTCCTCCTCCTCCCCCTCATGCTCCTCATCCTTTCCTTCATCATCCTCACTGTCCAACCTATTCCTCCTCATCCTCCTCCTCCTCCTCCTCCTTCTCCGTCATCTTCTCAACATGGGGATGCAGCGGTGCATGCACCCGCCGAGATCGTTCCTCCTGCATTCCCTGATCTCACTTCCTCCTGACCCCTCACCTTTAAATCTTGATATCGTCTTGCTCTCACTCCCCCCTATCCGCCTGCTGCAAACCACGTATGACCTTGCGGTCGGCGGCGCGAGCTCGCGAGCCTGAACGCCTCGAGCAGCTCGAGTGCGAATATCAATAACTAAGACAAGTTCGAGGAGGGGACGAGGAGGGGACGATCGAGGGAGCATCCCCAGCGGACCCTAGAGGGGGCCGTGGCACACGTGAAAACACATGGGCCTGGGGTCGGGGACTCCCATGGGCCTGGGGTCGCGGGCCCTGGAGGGGGCCGTGGCACACGTGAAAACACATGGGCCTGGGGTCGCGGACTGGAGGAGGCCGTGGCACACGTGAAAACACATGAAGCAAGAGACCCTGGATGCGGGAACCTCCCGTCGGGTAAACACATGGGCCTGAGGACACGTGAAAACACATGGACCCCGAGGGAGGAGCTCGACGACGACGACGACGACGACGACGACGACGACGACGACGCCGACGACGACGACGACGACGACGACGACGACGACGACGACGACGACCGCTGTCTCCCAAATGCGAACAGGGCGAACGTGAGGGATCAGATCCCTCGCAGGCCGCACCCTCACGGGCTACCAGCCGCACTTGCACCCAACGCCGCCACTGCTGGGGAGACAACGGTACGACGACGACGACGACGACGACGACGACGACGACGACGACGACGACGACGGGAGGATCGAGGGAGCATCATTTCCTCCCTTTTCAATCACAAAAGATGGCGCTGGCAAGGTTGACGTCCACGGGCGCCGCGTGGAGGTCACCTCCCGCCACGATGCCCATGATCATCCTCTTCCTGGCTCCTCCAACTCCCCGTCCTTCTCTTCCTCCTCCTCCTCCTCCTCCTCCTCCTCCTCCTCCTCGTGTCCAACCTGTCCTCCTCTTCCTCCTCCTCCTCCTACTCCCCGTCCTTCTCTTCCTCCTCCTCCTCCTCGTGTACAACCTGTCCTCCTCTTCCTTCTCCTCCTTCAATCCACGAGGTCCAACCTGTCCTCCTCTTCCTCCTCCTCCTCCTCCTCCTCCTCCTCCTCCTCGTGCTCATCCTCATCCTGGCTCTCCAACTCCCCGTGCATGCCCCCGATCCCGCCTCCTCAGCGCCGAGCTCGACGTCGAGGACGCCGTTGAAGACGGTGCCGCGCCTCCCTCACCCGATGAGGAGGATGAGGATGGGGGCACCGAGAGGATGAGGAGGCTGAGGAAGAGTGCGAGGCTGACGATAATGTGCGAGGGAAGAAGGCCCTCTTGGAGGTATAGGTGGGAGAGGAGGGAGATGTAGGGACGATTATAAGGACTAAGCCCTCCTCTTCCTCCTCCTCATCCTCGGGATCCTCGCCTGCCCCTCATCCCCCTCATCTTCCTCATCACCCCGTCTCCGCCGTGCCCAGCTGTGCGCGCATCCCCCCCTCACCGAATCAATATCGTCCATGCGTGTCAGCACGGTCTCGATAAGCTCGAGCGCCACGTTGCACTTCAGCAGGCACCTCCCCTAGGCCAGCTCATCGCAACCATCATCGATCCCCATCCCCCTCACTCTCCTCGGTCTCCGTCGTTCTTCTCCCCCTATCCGCGCGCGCCACCTCACCAAATCCCCCTCACTCTCCATCCCCTCCTCGTCATGCCTTTCCTGGCCTCCTTCATCCGCACTCCCCCCTATCCGCACATCCCCCCATCACCAAATCAATATAGATCATGCGTGTCAGCACGATCTCGATCAGCTCGAGCTGCATGTCACACTTCAGGCGGCACCTCCCCTAGGCCATCTCATCGCAACCCTCACCGATGACCCCCCTCACCCTCCTCGGTCTCGTCGTGTTACTCCTCCTCTCGACCTCCATCTCGTCATGATTTTCCTGGCCTCCACCTCCGACTTCAACCCCATCCGTCGTAAACGTTAAACGTGTATCCCTACCAACTTCCTCATCCTCGTCATGCCTGTCCTACCTCCTTCTTCATTTACATCCTTTTGCCTTTCCTACATGCCTTCCCACCTACACCAAGAAACGTGGATACATCCCTCCTACTTCCTCCTCCTCCTCCTCCCCCTCCTACTTCCCTCATACTTCCTCCCCCTCCTACTTCCTCCTCCTCCTCATCCCTCCCACCCGCCCTTTTCCCTCCACATCCCTCCCACCGGGGCCGACGCCGAGCTGCGCCAGAACGCGGTCCCGCTCCTGGGCCGCCTGCGCCGACTCCTTGATCTTCTTCTTGCTGATCCCGCAGACCACGTAGTTGGCCACCAGCTTCGAGCACGTGCGCTGGCTATCTACGCCCATCTTGGCCATGCAGCCCTCGCCCCACATGTTGTCGCGCACCTGGCACGCCTGCTTCTTCTGCTTCGTGCCACCGTCCTTGGGGTACACGCACACGGCCGAGAAGCCCTCGCTGTTCCTCTGCTGCTGGTAGACCACGTAGATCGCCCCGTCGTTGTGCGCGAACTCACGCGTCGTCTCGCCTGGACCGTCATCTGGGGTGTCCGCCCAAGCGAGCTCCTCGTCGGCCTCAGGCGCCGCCTCCTCCTCGTCGGCCACCTCCTCCTCGTCGGCCTCTTCGTCGCCCTCAGCGTCCTCCTCCTCTTCCCCCTCGAGGTCGACGTCGTCGAGGTCGGCGTCCTCGTTCTCATCTTCCCCCTCGAGGTCGGCTTCGAGCCCGCCCTCGAGCTCGCCCCCCGCCGACGGCTCTGCGAGCTCGCCTGCGAGCTCCTGGCTCCTGGCGGGGGGCTTCGCACCTACGGGCCTCTTCTTGGCGGTGTCGGCGACGGCCTTCGCACCTGCGGGCCTCTTCCTAGCCGAGCGCTTAGCTGCCGCGTCTGGGTCGAGCCACGACGGCACGTGCGAGGGCGTTGGTTCAGGCGGCCCCGACGGCACCACCGCTGACGCCGACGGCACCGCTGCCGCCGACTCCTTTTTCTTCTTCTTCTTCTTTTTCTTGTCCTTCTTGCGGCTGCCCGAGCTCTTCTGCTTCTTGCCGAGCAAGCTGCCGTAGAACAGCATGTTCTCGGCCGTCGCCGCCTTCGGTGGGGTCGCCACCTCCTTCGCTGGGGTCGGAGTGGCCGCCTTCTGTGGGGTCGGAGTGTCCGCCTTCTTCGGCGGGGTCGGAGTTGCCGCCTTCTGCGGGGTCGGAGTTGCCGCCTTCTTCGGCGGGGTCGGAGTTGCCGCCTTCGGTGGGGTCGGAGTTGCCGCCTTCCTCGGTGGGGTCGGAGTTGCCGCCTTCGGTGGGGTCGGAGTTGCCGCCTTCGGTGGGGTCGGAGTTGCCGCCGTCGGCCTCGGTGGGGTCGGAGTTGCCGCCTTCGGTGGGGTCGGAGTGGCCGCCTTCTTCACTGGGGTGGGAGTGGCCGCCTTCTTCACTGGGGTCGGAGTTGCCGCCTTTTTCACCGGGGTCGGAGTTGCCGCCTTCTTCACTGGGGTCGGTGCGTCCACTACCGCGTCGTCCACTACCTCGCTGTCGTCCACTACCGCGTCGTCCACTACCGCGTCGTCCACTACCTCGCTGTCGTCCACTACCTCGTCGTCCACTACCACGTCGTCCACTACCTCGTCGTGCTCTACCGCGAGCGCGTCGTCCACTACCCCGTCGTCCACTACCTGGTCGAGCGTGTCGTCGAGCGTGTCGTCCAGTACCTCTGGGTCGGTGTTTTCCGCCTCGTTGTCCTCCAGGAAGCCATCAATGTAGTCCCCCGTCCGTTTGTCTATCAACGTGGATGGGTGGTCGTCTTGACTATCCCCATGTTCCTCCTCCACAGGAGGAGGATCAGGAGGGTAACTCGTTTTGGCTACGTTAACGGAGGAGGAGCAGGAGGGGAACATATGACATGGATGGTGATGAGGAGGATGATGATGAGGACGAAGAGGTGGAATAATGGATGATGAGGAGGATATGGAGACACCACCCTCCTCCTCTACATATTCCCCCTCCTCCTCCTCCCTCCTGTTCCTCATCTTACACCCCTCGCTGCCGGACAAAATTTTGGTTTTTGGGGGAGGGGGGGGGGCGGGAGTGAGCATCCTGCATATGAAAGCTCCACCTCCCAAACCTCTTCATCTCCCTCCTCCTCCTCCTCCTCATCCCTCCTCATCCAAATCCCACATCCCTCGCTACCCTGGAGAATTCGGATTTGGGGGGGGGTCGATCGGCGTCGAGCGAGTTTGGCAGCCCGATTGTCCGCCGCGCCGCCCCGTTCGGAGTCTGAGCTGCGCTCGCACTCCTGCTGTAGCTGTGGTACTCTGGAGAATAAGGAGGACAAGGAGGAGGAGGAGGAGGAGTGCGAGCAAGACAGCAGGATCCTGCTCTGCTCTGCGGAGGAGGATCTCCTCCGAGGGGAATAACAGTCTCCCCTCGCGCAGCCCTTCCTCGGCCTCCTTGAGTACCTGCCACTCCCCCTCGGTGAGGTCGTCAGCCTCGGGGCGAACGGCACTCAAGGATGCTGAGGAAGGGATGCGCGAGGAGGAGGAGTCTCACGGGCTACCAGCCGCACTTGCACCCAACGCTGTCTCCCAAATGCGAACAGGGCGAACGTGAGGGACGACGACGACGACGACGACGACGACGACGACGACGACGACCGCTGTCTCCCAAATACGAACAGGGCGAACGTGAGGGATCAGATCCCAACGACGACGACGACGACGACGACGACGACGACGCCGACGACGCCGACGACGACGACGACGACGACGACGACGACGACGACGACGAGCGACGCCAGCGATTTCCTCGCCAGAGATCCTCGGTGAATGAGCTCTTGCCTGCCAGGAGGGAGGAGGGAGGGGGGGAATCCTCCAGCAGGCTCATCGCGAAGAACTCCTGAAGCTCGGCCTCGCTAACGTCGGAGTCGGACCCGATGGTGTTCTCCGCCTGCCCGCGTCCCTGCCTCGTACAGACCTCCTCAACTTCTCTGCCCTTCCCCTCCTTCCTCCCCTTCCTCCTGTCCCTTCCCTCTTTCCCCCTGCCCTTCCCCTCCTTCTTCCTTCCTCTGCCCTTCCCCTCCGTCCTCCCCTCCTTCCTCCCCTTCCTCCTTCCTGCCCTTTCATGCACTCCTCAGCCGCAACTTCCCCGCCCCTCCTCATGGTCATTACTCTTGGTCTTCAAGTAGTGGCTGTGCATGATCCTGATCGTCCGACACTGCAGAAACCTGGCGACGCCGCGAATGGGATGATCCCTTCCACCCTGCCCTCCTATCCCCTCAATCCTCCTCCCGCCCTGCCCTGCTATCTCCCGTGCCTCCTATTCTCCTATCCTCCCTTGCCGTCGACCTTCCTTGACTCCTACCGTCCTATCCTCCTATCCTCCTACCCTCCTATTATCATATCCTCCCTTGCCGTCCCCCTTGCCTCCTAGCCTCCTGTCCTCCAATCCACACCCTCCTATCCCTCCTATCCTCCCTTGCCGTCCTTGCTCCCTCCCTCCCCTGCCCTCCTATCCCCCTCAATCCTCCAGCTCCGCAACACAGAGAGAGAGAGAGAGAGAGCAGCTGAGCGGTGGAACTCGATGCCAGCGACGCGTCGCGCCTGCGGTTTGCGAGAGTGCTCCTTCTTCCACGCTTTTACGTACTTGTTCCAGAACGCATGCTTCCAGCCCTCCTGGGACGGCCCCCCTGTCTCTCTCTCTCTCTCTCCCTCTCCTTCTGTCCTCTCCACCCCATAGCGCCGTCAACATCGTCGACGGCATCCCTACCGCCGTCACCAGCGCCATCATTGTCGCTATCGTCGACATAGCCGCATCCGTCGTCATCGTTATCATCATCGACGTCGCTGTCATCATCGTCGTCTCCGTCATCATCATAGTCATCGTCGTCCTCGTCGTCATTATCTTCTTTGTCGTCGTCATCCGAACCATCGCCATTACCATGATCGTTGCCATTATCACTGTCATCGTGATCGTCGTCGTACTCGTCGTTACCATCGTCATCATCGTCATCATCCTAATCATAACCACCTGCTAACACTTCCCACACCTTCCTGCCCCTCCTTTTCCTTCTGCGTGCCTCCGTAACCTTCCTCTTGAGTGCCAGCCTCATTCCCACCCAATCCTCACTCCTCCTAGCCTCCCCTCCACCTCCTCCTCCTCCTCCTTCTCCTCTCCTCATCTTGGCCCCCTCCTCCTCAGGCAGGGCCCATGCACTCCTGCATGGTCTTCTGAGAAAACCTCTTCCCCTCACCCAACGTGTCGAGGGCGCGCAGGATGGGCAAGCTAGCCTCGGGGTCGCCGGAGGGGGGTCGAGAGGGGCGTGCTGTCCGGGATGAGGGGCTGGGCGGGATGAGGGAGAAGGGGCTGGGCGGGATGAGGGAGGAGGTACAATGGAGAAGGTGACGCATGATAACCACGGCAGGGAGGATGGATGAGGAGGGCATAGGATGGATGAGGAGGGCCTCCTCCTCCTCCTCCCCTCCTCCTCCTCCTCCTCCTCCTTCTCCTCTCGTCGTTGTCGTCATCATCATCACCATCATCGTCGTCATCGTCACCGTCGTCGTCATCATCATCATTATCGTAAGCTCGTCGTCATCATCATTATCGTAAGCTCGTCGTCGTCATCATCATCATGATCATCATCGTCGTCATCAGCGTCGTCGTCATCATCGTCATCGTCGTCATGGTCAATCTAACAGTCCCATCTTCCATCAACTATCGGACTCCCATGGCCGCACCCCCCTACTCCTCAGATCCCTCCTCATCATCGTCAGCCCTCCACTCTGGAGCCCTCCTGGCACCCTCCCCCCTGGAGCCTTTAACTCCTCGGGTCTGCAGCGGTCCTCGAACTTCTCAGCACTGTACTCGAACATCGGAACGTCGCTGCAGCCTTGCCGAGGCGGCGGGACATCTCCTAGCTCGTCGTCGCGACCGTCGTACTCGTCGTACTCGTCGTCGACGTCGTCGCCATCGTCGTCACCATCGCCATTATCATAATAGTCTTCGTAATCGTCATCGTCATCAGCGTCATCATCGCCATTGCCATCGCCTCATCGCCGTCATCGCCGCCACACCCTCGTCAGCATCATCGTCGTCACCATTACAATCTCCATCATCGTCATCACCTCCATCGTCAAAATCGTCACCATCGCCGTCGTCATCATCATCATCATCATCATCATCATCATCATCATCATCATCGAATCGCAATCGTCGTCATCACCTCCATCGTCATAATCGTCACCATCGCCGTCGTCATCATCATCATCATCATCATCATCATCGTCACCACCGTCACCACCATCGTCACCACCATCGTCACCACCATTGTCCTTCTGGCCCATCCTCCTCCTCCTCCTCCTCCTCCTCCTCCTCCTCCTCCTCATCCCCACATCTTCCTCCTCCTCTCCTCCTCCTCCTCCTCCTCCTCCTCCTTGCGGCGCCGTGGGCGCCTTCCATCAGCGGGAGGTCCGAGGGGTAATCCAGCAGCACCTTTTGGAGGCAACGGCGACGGCGGCGAAGACGACGACGACGACGACGACGACGACGACGACGACCGAAATCTAGGTGGAGGCAGCGGCGGGGTCGGAGGAGAGGGCGGATCGAGGGCGAAGGAGGGGGGGTGGACGAGGAGGAAGAGGAAGTGCAAAAGGCGGATGGGGAGGGAGGGGCCGAATGAGAGGACCAGGAAGGGAGGGAGGGGCCGAATGAAGGCGGATAGGGAGGGAGGGAGGGAAGAGGAAGGCGGATGGGGAGGGAGGCGCCTGCGCCAAGAGATGTGGCTCCACAACCGCCGTCTTCTCGAACCTGAATCTTTTCGGCGCCATGTGCGCCTAGCGATCGACGACGGACGACGGGCGACGGACGGCGGACCGCGACGACGACTTCCTGCCTCCTCCTCCTCCTCCTCCTCATCCCCTCGTCGACCTCCTGCCCCATCCTCTCCTCCCTCCTGTTCCTCTCCTCCTCCTCCTCCTGCCCCTTCCTCCTCCTCCCCCTCCTCCTCCTCCCCCTTCTCCCCCTCCCCCTGCCCCTCCTCCTCCCAATAGTTTCCCCGCGATCCTTACAGATCGATCTCGACGGGCAACGATGTGTAGCCCGTGAATCGGTACCACAGGTACCCGCCAGCCACGAGCAGTCCCCGCGGGACCTGCCACCAATACATGAGGACGGCGACGCGCTCGGGGCCAGGAATTGGGACCAATATGCCTGGGGGGGCTATGTATAATCACACACGCACCTATATATATATATATATATATATATATATATATATATATATATATATATATATATATGTGTGTGTGCCTGGCACACCGTGCTCGCTGATATCGAGATACCACACAGAATTGCCACGCACCAGCCCCTCGATGACGATGGATCGGGGCGCCCATGGGGGCGCCCGCTCGGCATCGTCATCTAAGATTTCAAACCTGAGGCAGCGCACGAAGCCGAGTCGACGGCCCCCAGGCATCGCGAAGTTCGCGGGCCCCCGATCCACGCAAGCTAAGCGAAACAAATCATCCCTCCAGCATCCTCCTCCCTCATCCCCCCCTCTCCTTCGCGTTCCTCTTCCCCTCCCCTCCCTCCTCCCCCATCCTCCTTCCCCCTCCCTCCTCCTCCTTCCTCTCCCCCTCTCCTTCCGCGTTCCTCTTCCCCCCTCCCCTCTCCCCGCCGAACCTGCGCGGCTCGGGGGCCCGCGCGGGCTCGCGCGCGAGCGGCGGCGCCTGGCGCCGCCCGGCGC